CTACTTTTGATTCCAGAGCCAAGGTATGGAAATGTCTATTAACTTTATATCTCCAAGAGCGTTTTTAGACAGGAATTTGGGAATGCTTCTTGTTTATTGTCAAACCACATTTTTTACATGAATCGTAGTATTTTTTTCCTGGAGCAGGCCAAAAGTATCAGCGTCTGTGGTGTAGCAGCCTGGTGCTTGCCCGTCACACAATGAAGATATCATTCGATTTCCGTGTGGGGAGAATTTTTATCGACCATCTTCGTCTTTCTGCTTGGACGCTGTATCCCTCTCAATACAGGTTGGCTCTGACAGGCAGATTTGAAGCAGCCTGCCTCCTTATGAACAAAATTTTGTAGATAGGGGCGTTAAATTTACAATCACTAAAAGTCAAAACCGCTGCATCATCCGTGAAATGAGGTTCTCGGGTGACAATACGTAAGACTTCAGTCTTTTCCTTCCTTCTTTAGATATTGAAAAACCTTCCTTCAGAAAGTGAACGGCGGCCATTCCTCTCATGTTATCCTGGAATGCCTGCAGCAGCTGCATGTTGGGAAAATATCCCAAGAAAAGAGGAACAAAGATGTATTCTTGCTTCGTTTTGTTCTTCTCAGACCGTCAGAGGTGTTTCGTCAAAGATATGCTCTATTGTTTTATACCATTATGGTAGGACTGCATCATTTGAAAGTACCCTGTAGATTGTAATTGAAGAAATTGTAAGCCCCCTCCCACGCACACACTCTATCGACACAATTTAAATAATTAAGGAGGTGGGCTGCTTTTGTCGTATTTGTCATGACCAACCCTGGGTGAGAGGGACTCAAAATCCCAGTAGAAAGACGGAGGTACTCAATAAAAAAATCACACCACGCGGGAATCAAATGGTGCAATTTATGGTTTAACACCCCTGTCAATGCTGTAAAGTTATTTAAGAGGCAGGACCTCTAATTTCCTCTAATAACGTCAATTTCCGAAAGGACCGAGGTGTAAAATGCCTTTCCTAAAGATACAACGTGGGACCGAGCTGAGGCCCGAATCCTCAAACCCACAATCTCATGATTGCGAATATGGTAGCTCAATCACAAAGATACCGATGCCACGCTTTTGAAAGATTTATGAAAGCACCATATGGGCTTTGTTTGGTTCTGTACGTTCTGTATGTTCCTAATGTAGCTATAGAGAGGAAAAACCGTGTCTAGTATGAATGATTTTCCTGAAACCCCCACTATGATATGTTCTTATATCCAGCGCCTGCTGCTGAGAGCCTCGTCAAATTTTAATTCAATTATTATGGTTTGATACTTTCGAAGGCGCCTCTACCCCGCCCCGCCCCCAACCCTCCCCAAGAAGAGGCATAAGCTCCCATTTGAGACAACCCTTTCCGATCCTCAAAAATCAAACACGTTTTATTTTCCACGTCGCGATCGGGTGCATTTGCTGTAAATTGCGGCCGACAGCCAGAATGCTACCCCGTGGTATATGACAGTAATGAGAAAGAACATTTAAATTTGTTTGCGTGGTTCACCTTTTGTGCCTGCCTGCAAGATCTCTAGCTCTGTAGAAAGTAGGGTCTTTATCATAAGTGCACTCGCTTTCAACGTACGTGTTCATTGGTTATTTTTCTTCTTCGTTGCAGTCGTGTGAGGAGAATTTTTATCGAGCATCTTGGGGTTTCTGCCGTGACATTGTATCTCAGGTTGGCGCTGACAGACAGGGTACAAGCTTGCCCCCTTACTGATCTAAATATTTTCGGTAAGGGCTTGGAAACAGCCATATTAAAAAAACAAAATGAGCGTATCTTTAGGATCGTCAAACGTAGTTTTGAAGGCAATGTCAAAGTTTTAATTTGGGTATAGATTATTTAGCCTTTTCCTTTTGTTACGGATTAACGTACTTTTTATTCAGCAGTTGGGTTTCGGCAGGCCTGCTCTTTCTAGACTTCAATCTGCCATGTCTCCAACGTACTCACTTTGTGCGCAGAAGACGTCAAAGTTGAGAACCAGTGACCAAGAGGTCAATAATGCACGTCAGCCACAGAATACATACCTCATCATTGCTGGTCCCGACAAGAGTCTATATATGTCTTACACAAGGACACATCCCACTTGATTGATGTCTCTAGTGTAACTCCTTGTGGGGAGAATTTCAGGGAGGAAGCCCGCTTTTTAGATAATCTAAATCATATTGACGGGGGCGTTAAAACACTAATATTAAAACAAAACAAAGCAAAACAATGCTACACGAAAACAAAACAAAAAACAAGACAAAAACAAACAAAAACAAAAACACCCCACTTTAATCCGTGTCATCGACATTGCGTAAGATTACTCAGTTGAACCTGCTTTAACGGCCACCGGTATAAGACAATAACCTGTACAATTGGCCACTTACTATTCCCTCCGCCCCGGTGGGTTTAAAAATTATTTTTTTTTACATTATAATGATATGCTAGACACCCACCTGTCTAAGACGGCCACCTCCACCCTCGAGAATAGGTGATCTTCGTAGACAGTTTTTAACTGTATACGTACATAAGCCAACATCTACCTGCTCTTCGTCACTGGTTCCCACACTGCTGACAGTCTCGGTTTAGAAGCGGTGGCCATTGGTATCATCGATTTGCTTCGGTTTGGTTGCGTCGGTATTGTCGGTTTGGTCGGTTTGGGGGCAAGCCGGATTGTCTTCCATGATCTTCAATAACAAACGGGTTTGTTTTCAAGGCTGCGCGTCGAGCGATTGGTTTGGCAGTTGGTCTGTTATAGTGTGCCCTGAATTCGTTAGAAAAGGAACAGAACCGATGTGATCCTCCAACCAATGGGCACCGCCTGTCTGTTTTGGAGGAATGCTTCTTTGTAATACCAACGTTCTCTCTCTCTCTCTCTCTCTCTCTCTCTCTCTCTCTCTCTCTCTCTCTCTCTCTCTTTTTTTTTGTTTTGATTTGCACGGGGTGGGAGCGGTAGAGGCACTACCAATACTGACCAGCAAGATCTAAGATCTAAGTGACTGCAGAATAACACATGGATGCCTATCTTCAGATGTACGAGTTTAATCATTGATGAGATGTATCATCACTGTAATGTTTTCTTCTACCCCCCCCCCCCCCCAAACCTTTATTGCTTCTTCTGGAGGCTAAAACAGCACCTGGGCATGGATGGCTGGTGCCTCTATAAATAAATCATTGATGGTCAGGTGCTTCTTCTGGAACACACAAGACTTTATCCAAAACGCACACACAAGCTCTTTGGAAGTAATTTACGAGTTATACTCTTCAACAGCAGAAAACCTAGATGCCGGTATGCCGTTACGCTAACAATGCTGTTTTCGTGACTTTTTAAGTAATGTCTGTATTCATAGTTTAGGCAAATCTAGAGGAGAGGGGTGCATGTAGGCAACGAAATCACACATTCGTCTTTTAAGAATCCAACTAAAACCTCTTTTCTCTTTTCAACAAAAGTTTTTTTCTTCTACCATAGCTTAATTGTGTCTTTTTCTCCCCACTCATCAGTTCAAGTTTGCCTTCAGTAATCATCATCATCATCATCATCATCATCATCATCATCATCATCATCATCATCATCATCATCATCATCATCATCATCATCATCATCATCATTGTTCTTGTTGTGCAGTAGAAGAAAACAACATTGTATATTATAAGGCTGGATCATATTTCAGGCGAATTAAATGTACTGTAAACAATGGTCAACGTTTAGCTAAAATCCAGGCTTTATTAGGAATATAGCTACGGATATAAACCCACCACAACATCACACCATTCACTATAAGATATAATTTCGTAATGTTGCCCAGGAGAAAATATCGGAAAGGACCGATGGTATCAGTCGGCTTTACCTACAACGTCAACATTTTGAACAGGTGGTGCCAACAGTAATTATAGCAAAGATTGTCCATAACAAGATTGTTCACTCAGCCAAAAAGTGTCCGCGGAATCCGCGCATTGGTTCAGATGACGCTGCAGTCTTTGTTGTGAAACTCTTTTTCGTTTCTCCAGAAGAAAAATAGGAATAGCACAGTTTGTTATGTTCGCTTTTATTGTTTTTCACACAAGTAGGGTAAGGAGTCCGCACTTTTTCGAAGAGGGTGCCACCGAATTTTGAGGACACTTTTTTAAATAGCTTAAAGAGGGGAGTGAAATATCTTGTTATACACAATCTTTGATTATATTGACTCTTTTTTCTCTCTGAATAAATGAGATACTTTAAGGGTTTTCCCCAGCTTCTGCACCCCGGAGCGTTGCATGCAACTAAATAAAGCATAAGCCCCTACACTTCAAGCTGAAACCAGCTGGCATTCAAGCTCGTGAATTTAGCAGTTAATGGGTTTGCACTTAAAGCGTTTTTACTCGTCCTATCAGAGAGAGATTCTGTTCTATAGTTCGCGACTCTCTATCTCTTTACTGTGTATTGGAAGTGTTGTACTGTCCGACTCAAACAAGGTAATCTCAGTGCAGTTGAAGCCTTTGTGGACTGTTGTCTTAACAGTACACACACACACACACACACACACACACACACACACACACACGCACGCACGCACACACACACGCACACACACACATACGCACACACACAGACACACACACACACCTAGATTTTTAACATCCAAAATAATGTCAAACTGTGCTGAAAGGTGTACGTCGTCACTGCATCTCATCAGCAAAAAGAGCAAACAAGTGCTTTTAGGCCAACATTGACGAAATAAGATGCACCCTCGAGATTTTTCTGTATGAAAAAAAGATAAACAACCCTAACAATGCAAAGTACGACAAAAGAAGAAGAACAACAAACAGCAAACAAAAACAAAACAGAAATAAAACAAACAGGATTGCAATAACAACAACGACAACAACAACAGCAAACTACAACAACAGAACGAAAAAAAAGAAAACAACAAAGACCCCCACCAAAAAAACCCACGAAATAAGCAACAATGAGAAAAGATAAGGCCCATTTGCTGTACGATATTGATACAGACACTTTACAAATCGTCCGTACTTTGAGAAAGAGAACGTTTAATTTTGGTAACAGATATCATCTTTATTAATTCAAATTGATTCATTGATTCAATTGAATGCGAGACAGATACAAACAAATCATGTTGATTAGAAGAACAACTTACTAAAAACTAAGATATTTACACCAAGTCACTCATAACCACCTCCTTCGATTTGTCTGTCAATTGTTTCTAAATGCTCTCGTGCTCTCACTCGGAGAGAGGCTATACTGGAATGTTTACTGTTGTCCCTTCCGTTGACACAGTGAATTCCTGCTCTCCGAGCCAGCAAGGGGTTAAACATTCCAGAGAGAGTGTGAAATTGCGAAGATAGATTGTTGCATCTTGAAGTCATCGCCGTGGACAGATAATCCGGAAACGTCCCGGACGCCATGGCCGGAAGTGACGTCAATGCCGATGGTGGTTGTGGGATCATTTCGCCTCCTGTGGTGATATTGACTATGGGGGACGTGAACCAGGGGTCGAGGGGTAAAGGTGCTGAGGTCAAGGACACGGGCGTCTGAAGCTTGGGGAGTGAAGGAATAGCGAGGCCGTCTGGTAGCTTGCCGTAGTCTATTTTCTCTTGGCGTCTCCATTTAGCTCGGCGGTTCTGGAACCAAACCTGTGAAGGTAGTAAAATAGAACATGAAAATTACTGATTTATTTGTTTGATTGTGAGATGAAAAATAACACCGACCAGAGGGTAGTCATGGTGTTCATTGTGACAACATAACATTAGCAATTAACAGCAACTTTAGAGTGAAATGCAAAACAACAATCTAGTGTTAAGTAAAAAACGACCAGAAAGAAATGATGAACAAATAGGGAGGAACCGCCCTTCAGTTCAAGTTAAATCTACCTTGCAGAAATACATTTTTTTTCAAAGTAGGTATTTTAACGCCCCCATCGACGGAATTTAGATTATATAAGGAGGCTAACCATGGCTGTAAGGGCTAACCCGAGCTGAGTAGGATGCATCCCAGGAGAAAGACCGAGATACTCAATAAAAATTTTCTCTCCACTCGGGAATCGAACTTGAGTGTCCTGCATGCAACAGCTAATCCATGAACCGCAACACCACAGACGCAGATGCGGACATTTTAATTGAAATGATCGTTGGGATGTATCAGACTTATCAAGTTTCACTTTAGGGACTGTGTAAAAAAGTACGGATTTACTTAGTGGCGAACTGCGCTGGATTGTCAATGAATTACTGACTGTATACAGGAGGTGTATACCCAGCAAATTATTCACGCCTCTTAGTAAAACTAAACAAAAACGTTTATTTCCCCTGAATGAAGGCGGTCATCCGTCGTACTTAGATCGGTTAACGATTCGTTGCACTAACTCTAATTCTCTTTTTGTCGTTTTAGTGCGTGAGAAGAGACCCAGCTGTATTATTATCTTAAGCTGTATTCTTCATTCTCCTTGTTTCAGACCGTGACTAATTCTAAACTCTGTTGGTGTAAACGCCAGCGATGAACTTTTCTGGGAAGGAAAGGGGTATTCTTGAGGGTAAAATGCGATACATCTTCTAATTAACAGGTTTATTTCTTTCCGGAGAACCTAAGCTTTCTAAAACGGTTTTATATTTCAAAAAAAGGATATTACTTTCAGATTAGAATTCAAACAGATTTGGAGAAGTACGGTACTGTCAAAGTGGAATGTTTAGGTTTTGGAGGTCATCGAACTCAGGACAAATTTTTTAAAAGAATCAAATCTAGCAAGCCACGCCAATGTCCCCGACATAAAGTGTATTAAGTGACATTTTTTTATATGAACACTTCAATAAACAAAAGCCAAGGAACTGGGAAAGTTGAAAAAATAACCAGAAAGAAAAGAAAAATACCCTTGTGATTAATTTATTTTTAACGTTGGTGTTTTTACAGTTATTTAGACAAGAAGCGGGCTCCTGACCCTCCAGTCAAGGCAAACTCTTCCTCCTCCTCCTCCTCCTCCACCTCCTCCTCCTCCTCCTC